ACCGCCACTTCCCCAAGACAGGCTGCTCGGATGATTTGCCTTTACGAAAGCTTTCAGTTGATTCCAGACCTCCATAAGAGCCTTTACCCATTCGACTTGTTGTTGATCCCTAAATAAAAGACAAAGTATTGCAGGAATACAGACAAATACACGAGCTGAGTTTGAGGATCTATTGTGCAAATGGCAAACGAGCATAAAAGAAATGTATACAATGAAAAAAAAACTGTCAAAATCGTCAAAACTTAGGCTAAGGCTCAAATGACGGATGAAATCCTACAATGAAAAGAAGTTCTTATTTCACACAAATGACAGAAAATTGATAACTCAAGGAACGTTACTTGTCCTTATACTCCTTCAGCACACGGTTTGAGTAAAATTTGCCCGATTCAACCATCTCCTCGATATGTTTGACAGGTAGCGAAGGCTAGAAAATTAATCATAGTAACAATGAACTCACAACTGCGACCCAGCCTAGTGCAGCGACGGACTCGGCGACAGCAGACAAGTTGTTGAAGTAATTACTCTTCCTATTCGAATCTTTGAACTCCTTCCGAGGTGAGTCTTAAAACGGAGAACTTACAATGACCTTTTGAATTGCGGCGGAACAGGGAGCGAGTAGCTGGGGTAAGTTAGAATTATCTGGCTTCGACATCTTGCTCGCCTTTATGATTAACTCATCTTCGGCCTTAAAAGCGGCGACCAAAAGATCAGCCTCGAAGGAAAGCATAAGGCTTGATAGAACACAAACCTGCGTTTTGACTTCAGACGCAATTTTGGCACTAATTTCGACAAAAGACTTAAGACTCCCGTTGATAATACTCTCGAAGGCCATGGAGTCTGTTTTGATACTTTTAGATTCTTCAGTTAACAAGGATTTTTCCCGGGATGCCGCAGTTTCCAAGCGATCAGCAATATTTTCGAGTCTTTCTACAAGTTTACTTAAACTATCCATTTGATGGCGAGACAAACTTGAAGTAACTATGCAAACTCCTATCGATCCAAGTATCCGGAAGTTGGTTGGTTCCTGAAAATTTCAAACTTGCCTCACGAAGAACTTTGAGTCGTACGTACCGCTAGCTCTCAGTGCTCTAGGTCAGTCTGTAGGTCACACTGCTCAAGATGAAAGGCACAAAGTAACTGCTGTGTGACTTGTGACGCCATAGCATATAAGTCCCATAAAGTGTCAAGAAAGGTGGGTCGGATTGACTACAAAGGCGAGGATGCAAACCACCTATTTCCACAATGTAGTAGCAATTAAAAGGTGGTTCAAAGTCAACAATGTTCGCGATTGTGTAAGCCTTAATTATGTACATACGCCAGCCCAATAGCTTTTTCGGTTAGCCATAATCCGTTTATCATGAAACAGGCACACGCAATCAACACAGAGAGGGATGTTCTTATGATATATATTCGTATGAAGTGTCTTGCTTATCGGCCAAGTACGCATTTATGCCACTTGCAGAATCAGATATTGTGCTATAAATAATTAATTTTCTTGAGAAAAGTGGAATCTTGAACTGGGCACGAGGACTCCTTACATCTGTCTGTTTGCATCGCTCGTGGTGAAACACAGGCCTTTGTTGCAATGTGTTAGGCAGGCAAGTAGCCCTTGTTGGATCCGGAACCCCGCCGGGTGGGCCTCAATCCCGGCGGTGAGGAGGATTAGGAGTCGGAGCAGCATAGTCAGGAGGGGCTGCTTTGTCATAAAAAAACAGATGGAGAGGAGAAGAGATGGATCCACCGTAGGGAGGTTTGGT